CAAACATTGACACATGAGCACAGATATATACACTGACACGCACAAACACACACAGAGAAACACTCACCCTCTTTTTCATGTGATGTTGCAGTGCACACTTCAAATGTTTCCCCCAGGTCCCCTTGTTTCTGACTCCATCCTCCATCCTCCTTCATTTGCACCCCATGGCACCTGTGTTTGATACCTGCCTTGGTGGTCCAATGACTGTTTAGCTAGTATTCATTCCCTGGTGGTCCGATGGTGTATCGCATTTTCTGCACCTGGCTCTGGTACAGACCATCATGTCCTCTCCATTGCGATTCTGGCAGGCAATGTAGAGTCAGAGCGCATCTGAGGGGATTCCTAACTGGTGCTGTGACTCGCTAAGTGTGCATCAGAACCACGAGGAAGAGGACATGATGGTCTGTACCAGTGGCAGGTACAGACAAGGCAATGCACCACAGGACTATCAGGGAAACATTTGTATCTAATATATTGCTGATCTGGCATTGTATCAAATACAAATTTCACATATGTCAGTATCCCTAAGGCAACCCCAGGCCATCTGTCACCCCTGTTGCCATGGCGCCCTGTGCAGCCACACAGCTTGCACACCCCTAAGGCCAGCACTGTTTACAGTTAATTAGTTTGTAGAATTTTAGAAGAAACCTCACGTCTGTCTAATTCTAGATAGGACTTTTTAAAGAGGTTTGCCTCATTGGCAGATGAACTTGCACTTCATGGCCTTGTTTACTTTCTGATTTCATTTTCCATTATCTTCAAATACTGCATTTTGGAGAACTTATTAAATCCTTGACCATTTTTGTCTACTTATTTGGACTATCTTCTTTCTATACCATATTGTCATAACAAATCACATTCTTTCTGTGAGCTAAAATGCATATAACTTTTTTGTTTCTGCATCATTTCCCTAAGTATCTGCTCGTATGTTTTGTTTCTGTTCTGATGGAGTACTTGTAAATGAGGTTTCTAGTGAGTGCTGCTAAATTACCTTATTGATGAAAGTTTTACAGTGGATATGTTGGTCCCAGCAGGTGCCTTCAACAAAATTGTATCATCAAACTATTTTACCATCATCGAGCAAGTTTATTTGCAATCAGAGAAAAAGAAACCTTTTTTTAAAAAGAAAGTGCAACAGGACTGAATCCCAAGCTCATTCCTATTTAACAAACAGATAGGATGCATAACACATATTGTATTTACAGGGTGGAGAAAATAGTTAGAATTAAAAGGTTGAAACCAAATAACTCATTGCATGCATATGATACAATTGGTGGGAAACTCAAATAGAGACTTCAGAAAATTGGCTTTATGCTCAAACTAAAATGACGAAAATGATGACCACAGACATGGCTAAATACTAATGATAGCCATGGCTAGATAGATGACCATTGCAGATGGAGATGGCGTGGAAGTGGTAGGCATGTTTCATGGGTGCCATACTAACTGTCACGTATTCATCTGCTTATAAAAATGTGGTTAATGGCAATTACTGTCCACTCAGGAAAAGTTGTGCCGAGCAGCAACCTAATCCACAGAAGGGTTAATGCTGAGCAGCAATTATGCAAATGTGATCCTGATAACTGCCTTTGGGGTCAAAGGCTGGTTACAGTCTATCAGATTTAGAGGAGGGGTATTTAGGCCCAATTCACATCCTGCTCAGTGCCCTGTCGTGGTTTCCATAGTGGTTGTTCTATAGCGCATTCCTGATTCAAGTTTCTTCTGGTTTTTGACTTTGGCTTTGCTTTTAACTTTCCTGTATTCTGGTATCCCTGACTTCTGGCTTTCCCTTATCGATGTGTCTCTTTCTGTATCCCCTGACCTCAGCAAGTATCCTGACTACTCTTTGGTATGTTAAGTCCGGCCATTCTAAGGCCCAGTAATACATTACCTATTAGTCATCTGTGCGACACAATTCTACATGCTGGATCAACTAGTAATCCTGACACTAACAAATGCTCAAATTTTACAGGCAAACTGAAAAATAAGGAAAAATTTACATTCTTCTCTCTCCTGAGAAAGACCTCTAAGATTCACTTGCATCATTCCAGGGCCCTATTGAACCTTGTACTGAAGAGAGTCCCAAGAGAGGATTTCCCATGCAATTGGGTTAATCTCACAAGAGCAGGCAAATGGGCCAAACCTGGGCAGATGAAGCTCATAGCCCTGACATGCCATTCATCTAGGACAAGGATACTCCAAGATGTAACACCTATGACCAGGGGACCTCACTGTCACTGTCCCAGGTTACTAGACCATGGCAGATGAACCCCAGTTGTAAAGGGTGGGGCAAGTATTGCGCACCCTGCCTCCACCTGAAAACTCCACTGTGCAGGCTCAAAGGATATGCCCACGTCTCCAGTTAATATTATCATTAGGTGGAATATAAAACCCACCAAATGAGGGCGCTAAAAAGACTGAGATACAGTGAGTACTAAAATAGTCAAAATAGTGACTTCAATAGTATCAAAATGTATTCCAATAGAAAATTAATTTAATTAGTTTTATATTCCACCTTCTGTCTACTGTTTGTTAACTATAGGCTTTTTCTGAGTGTGCCTATTGAGTGGCTGCTTCTTATATTGAGATCCTTATATCTGGATCTACCTCTACTATATGTTTTCAATATTATCATTAGGCCCTGTAGCGATGGGAAAGGGGCAAATTGGCGAGTGGAAGATGACACTGGAAGACACAGTTCTGATCCTGCATGTAGGCAGTTCGGATGTATGGGTCATCTAATTGCGACCTCTGAGACAAAGACATCATTTGATAGCACCGTGAACGATCAAACAGCCTTATCTAGTGATATCTTGCTTGCTCCACTCAGAAGGACCTAGAAAATGTGGCCTGACCAATGCTTGTCTAAATTTCCCCCCAGTTTGCTAACCGCATTCAACTGGCATCTTCTAATGAGTAAAAGGAACACACCTGCCTCACGAGGTGTGCTAGGACTAAAATGTGCATGTTTGAACATCAGAAGTACAGCAGTCACCCTAAATGGAGCTCCACTTTAGACGCCCATGAACTCTCAAGGCTCAATGATATTGCTGGTCTCCCAGAGGTAGACAGCCTTCAAGACTTTGGAGCAGGATTCACCCACTACTGGTCAGACAAGCCAGACACCAAGCGACACCTCTGTGGCGCTGGTTTTATGATCAGATACTCCATTGCCTACCAACTTGAAAATCTCCCATCAGGTCACGCATCTCCAACTTCAAAACAAGCAGCATATTGTGATGTTTAGGGTGTATGCACCAAGTTCTACACTGAGCTACGCAACCTTGTGCAGAAGTCCCTGCGGATGACAAAGTTATCATCCTTGGCAACTTGAGTGCCAGTGCAGGCAAAAACTCAAGACTGGAAAGGAGCACTTGGCAAACATGTTGTTGGAAACAACAATGACAATGGGTGCCTTCTGTTAGAGTTCAGGGTGGAGCAGAAATTTGTCATCAGCCACACCATCTTCCAGAAAAAAAAATGTCTGAAGACAATTTGGATGCACCCTTGATTCAAACATTGCCCCTTATAGATTACATCATGGTGCACCAAGTAAATATTCGAGACATCCTACTCACTCGAGTAATGCCCAGCTCAGAGTGTCATATGGACCATCATCTTGTAAGATGCAAGCTATGTTAAAACTCAAAACCCAGACAGAAGAGGGAAGGAGCTCTGAAGAATGCAGCTGAGTGAATGCAGAATTTCAAGCAAGTCTTCAGTTGAGGCTTGAGAATTCCAGCTGCCTTGTGGACCCCTCCTTAGAAGAGCTTTGGGAATTTCTAAAATCTGCCATCCTGCAGACCTCTGAAAAGGTTTTAGGTATCACCACAAAGAACAAAGATTGGTCTGATAAGAACAATCAGAGGATTCAAGAATTGCTGATGAAGAGATCTGCTCACAAAGCGCACCTTGATCAGTCGCCTTGTCCTGATAGGAAAGCAGTAGTTTGTACAGAGTCCCTTGTGCAGTGCAGATGTCAAACACTCCTCACAGACAAGGCGTCCATCCTGAACCGAAGGTTGGAACATTTCCAGTCTCTCTTCAGCAAAAACCACACTGTACAAGTTTCTGCACTCCATCACATCCCACAACAGCCAAAATAAACAGGTGGACGAGATTCCCAATCTTGAAGATACTGTTAAGTCTAGCTAAAAAGTGGCAAGGCAGCAGGCATCGATGGAATTCCACCAAATTTTTAAGATTTCTTTGTCTGCTTCTGGGAACAAGGGAAACTACCACAGGACATCTCTGATGCTGTAATCATCACCCTGTAAATATAAAACAACTGCTCCAACTATCGGGGGATAACACTGCTTTCTGTCGCAGAATTTTTTTTTGCAAGGGTAGTTTTGTTTATGTCAACTATTTGTTTTTAATATAACTTTACAAATTTTTTACAGTACAATGAAATATACTTACAAATAGTCCCAGTTTTGCCACAAATGCTTATTTAATCTTTTACAGAAATCACAATTTCTCATTCAGTAGTCGTATTATTTGCGTCCCCGACCCAAATTGTCTCCTTTACTCTTATTTTGCATAAGCAATATTTTCCATATAACCTGGCGCTTAATATGGAGTTAAATGTATCCTTCGCATTTATTTTCCCTAAATATCTGGAAGGATGACCATATTTTTCAAACCATTTTACTGATTACATTTATTATTTTAGCCATTCTCTCTACAGTCTTATTTTTAATCAATTCTCCTGATATGTTTTCCTATTCTTCGTTCCAAATAATGCATGGTTTCTAAGTTATATTTTGTGTTAAATCCGTATTTATTGAGATCATCTTATTTAAACTTTTTCCCACGCAGGGGAAGAAGTGCATACATTGCATACAAAATGAGAAAACATATCAAAAATGGGAAACCAGATTAGCATATTGGGGTGCCATTTTAGAGCCCATAGCAGTGCCCATGGTTTGTAGGTAAACTTCATTGTTAAAACGGAAATAATTATGTGGAAGGATGAATAGTGCCAGTTCTGTGATAATTCAGGGGCTGTATTTTTGGTTGTCGACATAAGAGAGGAAATGGCAGCCAGCATTGATGCCATCTGTATGTGGAATGTTGCTGTACAGAGATTCCACATCCATGGTTACAAGGATGGTGTTAGCAGGGAGAGTGGTGATTTGGCTGAGGAAGTCGGTTGTGTCTTTTATGAAGCTGTTGGAATTGGTGACTAGAGGTTTTAGGGTATTTTCTACCAGTCCTGAGATCTGTTCTGTGAGAGTTCCCATTCCTGTAATTATGGGTCTTCCAGGATCACCTGCTTTGTGGATTTTGGGAAGCATATAGAAAGTGCCCATGTAGGGACTAGTTGGTATGAGTGATTGCAGTTCTAGATGCTCAGAGAAGGATTTAATGAGCTCCCTAAGTTGTAATATATATTCCTTGGTCGGGTCTTCATTTAGTTTTTTATAGTATTTGTCATCTGACAATTGCTTGTCCCCCTCTTTTATGTAGTCCTGGGTGTTCATTATCACTACTGCTCCTCCCTTGTCAGCTGGTTTGATGGTGATAGCATGATTATTGTTCAAGTCATTTATAGCCATTTGTTCCTGTACTGAGAAATTCTGAAACATTTTCTTTTGGTTTTGCTTGGTTGGCAAGGATACTGTTCTTAGACGGAAACTTTCAATGTAACTGTCCAGTTTGGCATTTCGTCCTGGTGCTGGAGTTGAATTCGTGTTCTTTTTCCCGTTGTAATCCATTGTGGTATCAGTGCTCTCTTTACATAAACCCTCCCCCACATTATCTTACTATTCTGTCATATGTATCAACACTTTAAAACACATTCCAATATGTTTATTCTATCAATATACAAAGTACTATGTGTAGACCTATGCTTTCCCATACTCGTATGCATGTATGCTTATATATGTGATTGTGCATTTATATTTGTGTTTATGTGTGTGTGTATATGTATGTGTTCATGTGTTTATGTGTTTGCATATACATATTGTTTATCAGACCTGTGTGTTATCTGCATTTATGTCGCTTTAACCCCTGTATCACAACTCAACTTTGAATTCTATGTGTCGTCTTGCTCAGAAATGCTTCAGACTTGAAAAAAGGGAGGTTCTCCCAAAAGCTTGTCATTAAAAAATTCTGTTAGTCCAATAAAAAAGTATTACAAAATACAAATTGTATCTGTTTTTTACATCTACATCACTGGACTAATATGGCTACAATCTTGAACACTTGCCCTTTAAATCTCCTGTGTAAGTACCATAGAGCTGAAATCCAAAAAAGTATCAGATGGAAATATATTATCCTAAGCTTTTGCTGCTTTTCTCTAAAATGCCTATGTATAAAAATAAATATGAGATAATCTCATTGATGATAAAGAATAGCTCCAGCCAGCCATTAATCACTGTGTGACATAAAGAGATGATTATCAGAGAAGGGCCATAACAAAACTGACCAAAAACATTAACAGACATAATGTATCGATGCAAACAAAAGTCAAACGAGTAAGTGCGATTTTTATTTTTTTATTGGTCACTTTGAGAGCTGGATAGCTGAATTATCCCTGAAAGGATTAAAGGTTAATTTTCCATATTAATGAATCTTCATTTGATGCCACATGCACGTTGCTAAGTTGATTATTTGGCCTTTTTTTTAAAATACAGAATGTTGTGAGGATTTTTTTTTACTTTGGACTCAAACCTAAGAAGTCTCAGGTTTTGCAGCTGCACCACACGTCACAGGGGTTGGATTGCAGATATGAGCTCGGAGAGTAAGATAGCAACACACCAAGTATGTTTCAGAATCACCTGCGCATTCATGTGTAGCATTTCTATGTCAAACAGGAGATGTCCTAAAACATATCAAAAATATTATTTTCTACAAAGTTCATAAATAACAAGACATAAAAAGAATTCAAGGGCAAGCTGGTCTGCGAAAGTTTCTTCTTTGGGTTAGCTGGATATACGGACATAGGGAGGGAGACAAAATGGAGGAAACTGACATTTTAACACAAATACGCACTTACAGCAGATAGGACTTTAACCATTAATAATACAACTTAAGCATAATATGATTTTAACCCTTACACATAATTAAACCCATAACGAGTCACAGTGAGGAGACGTAATAGCATATGTTCTTTTAAAAATGTTCTCCTAGGCTTTACATAAGAAACTTGAGTAAAAGAGTAGAGTCAGTCGAACAACCCCCGAGTAACTGTATATCTGTGAAAACAATCAGCAATATTTATCAAGAGAGGTCTGAGCTGAATGAATGTCCTTCTTTCATTACTCAAGAAGTGGCATTAAACCCCGCTTGGACTTTGCATGATATACAACCTTGGCACATTCCCAAATCACATAAATGGTCTTAGGTCACTGGTATAATGTATTGATACTGCTATAAAAGCTTCATCGAAGCTTCGTTTTAAAGGGACAAGTTAGAATGCATCATTGGTCCAAAGCATTCTGCAATGTGTGCTGATGAATTGGCTTAACTCTTTCAGTGTCAGAGAGGAGACTAATGTGAGTGTTATGCTCAGAATGTGGGATACACTGCTTTGATTTTGTGGCTTTTTTTTAAACTAGAATTTCTTTTATGTTTAGGTAAACCTTATGAAGCACCTTTTTGGATGGATGGATTTTTTTTTTTTATTGTTTTGCAGACACATGTCTAATCCAACCATGCTCTTCACAAACTTAAAAGTACTTTAAGGATGAATGCATTTTGATTGGTAGAATAACATGTGATTGACAAATTCAGAGAGTGGTGGATACTATCATTTTAATATACATCTTGTGTAGCAATGTCCCATAGATTTTTTAGTATGTAGTCTGACTAAGAACCAGATATGAAGCGTATGGCAGATTACCACCTGGTGGGAAGCAACATTTAATTCCATAGTTGTTTCCACTGAAATATTGCT